TTGCCTAAGAATTGTATTTAAGAACTAGAAAAGTGCCTCTGTGTATGTGTGTGTGTTTATTACAAGAGCTTCTTTCTTCCCCAGAATGTTCATACTGTGGAACCCAGTGGGACCAGTACAATCTCTGCTCAACTCCCCAATGCCGCCAACTCGTTTTGACGTGCCCTGCCTGTCAAGAACGAGGATTCACAGCCTGCTGTGTCACATGTCAAGACAAAGGGAGCATAAAGGCTTCAGGACTTCCCCAGGACAGCTTTAAAGAGGAATGTGAATGTACCGCCCGACGGGCACGCATACCTACAGAGCTCTCCCAGCAGCTGTGCCTCCCTGTGAGCCCAGAGCCAGGGCCCTGTTAGTGAGGATGGGCCATGGCTTGTATGAGCAGCACATTCAGCCTTCCTCACGCCTTCAATAAAAGTAGATTTGTGGTGACTACGTTTAGAAAAACATCAAGGCTGCAGAACAAAGAGATCAGAACTTTCATGCTGGCCTGAGCCACCACCGTAGCATAGTGGTGACCATATCGACGACCTGCACTACACAGAGGGAAGGGAGAGGGAGTCAGATGATGATCACTTACCTGAAGCATTCTGATTAAGAAGGTGCTAGAGCACAGAAAAACGTAAGCTGTATGGGGCCACAGAAAGGATATGGGCATAAAACCTTCGGCCTAGTGACCAGGACAGCCCTTTCTCTGCCATGCAGCAAGCTGTTAGTAGTCCTTATCAGCAAACCTGTCTTTCCTGGTGGCATACATGTGAAAGCTGTGGCCCTGGAGTGCACTTGTAAACCAGGCCACCTCAGTCACCCTTCACCCCTACCTCTGTCTCTTCTCTGACAGCCTGACAGATCTGCCAGCTGTGGCATTTGGCCTGCCTTCTGCTTTGTAGATAGGAGTCATCCCTTGGTATGCATAGGGGATGGTTCCAGGATGCCCGAGTATTGTATACCAAAATCCTAGTAGACCCCTGTACTGCCCACAGTCGGCTTTCGGAACTTGAATATGCAAAAAGTCAGCCATCAGAATACCCAGGTTTTACATCCTGCAAATACTGTATTTTCAATCTGTTCAGTTGAAAAATCCACAGATAAATGGACCCACATAGTTGAAACCTATATTGTTTCAGGATCAGCTGTACAGTTTATTGGAACAGCCATCCCCATTCCTTTACATAGGATCTATGGCTGAATTGAGTACTTGGAACAGAGACCATGTGGCCTGCAAAATCTGAAGTAGTTACTATGTGGCCCTTTACAGGAAAGTTGGCCAACCCCTGGTCTAGATCAGCAGCTTATTGATGGGGATAGCCTTAAAGATGTGGCTCCTCTTCATTTTTTATTGATTTGGTTTCTATGAGAGATTTCCCCTAATAGCCCTGCTTTCCCTAACACTCACTCTAGCTTTTAATTTTTCTCTTTGTGAGATTCAAATAAGCTCAATGATACTGACATTTGGGGTAGCATTTTTAGATCATCTGGGATATAAGAAGACACATTCTTAGTGAGGTCATTCAGCATTGCCACGGCGGCTGCCCAGCCTTTTGGCAAGTGTCACAGGTCCTGAGAAACACATACAAAGCCATACATAGACCAACAAATTTATTATTACATTGCAGTTTCCAGTGATGCAGAATGCAGCTGCAGTTGTGTTTCAAAGAGAAGCTGAGTGGGGATGGTCATCCCTGCAGCATGGTGCCACTCCCGGGCCCCTCTGCAGCCTCAGTAGACACTCTTCTACAGTGGTGAGGCCCTGGCTCCTCTAGTTCCCCTGTACTGTCCATGTCACTGTGGTTCAGTGTGTAGGACTTTTCCTTTTTCATCACAAGCCTCTCTGCTCAGTGCTCTGCAGCTCTTTGGCCTTGTCCTTTATCATAAGATTTGCTGTAATTCCTCAAAGCAACAAACAGAAACACTGGTTTAACTGGCACTATGGTATATTAAAAGGCACAAGGGCACTGTGGCTTTTTGCTAGATTCCAAGAGATACATATGATGTTATAAAGGAAATCTCAAAATCACATTTTCAGAATAATCATCCTGGGGTGGTTTGGCTAGGATTTCCTAATTCTTTAACATCTGGATTTTCTTCACCATTGTCCCACAGAGACTGAATTTACAGCCCTAAGATCGATGGTGATTTGTCTAATAAGTGATGAGACAGGTAGCTGAAGACATGCTTGGTCATGCTAAATTCCATAGCTATGATGGACTGAGATTTATCTCCTGCTGTCCACCTGACATAAGCCATGTGCCCACTGTGCAGTGTAGAAAGGTGTTTTCAAGTATTTGGCCATAGGTTTTCACATCCAGTGTAAGGCTGGCATTCAATAGGAAAAAGCTGTCTGACTCCAGTATTAAATTGTAAATAAATCCCAGAAGTTCTTAACACTCAGGGACACTTTTGTTGCCCGGGATTGGTAAGGAAAGGATGGCTTTTGAAGCTTGAAATATCATCTTTGGCTTTTTCTGTCATTTTCTCATATCTAGCAGAAGGAATCTTGTGTTCTTTGATTCCTGGCAGAGCTCTGTGGCTTCAGTCTGTCTGTCTTTCTTGAGAGGAAAATTGTGTTCTTGATCCAGTAATCAATTTGGGAACTTTAATTTTCAAGTTTTTAAATTTTAAAGGAGGGTTAATAAAGAATGGTTATTCTTTCTGTTTGCTAAATAGCTAAGATCAAATCTGTAATAAAGTATTTTATACTTCTGAATTATGTGGGAAAGTATACTGCTTATTTATATGTTACATATTTTAAATGCACCTGAAACACCACAAAGCAAGGCCACTGAAACTGGGCTCCTGGGTTTAAGTCACTGCTACTTAAGTCATCTTCAGCATGATCTGCCAGTTTGAGGACTTACCAGTTTTTAAATAATAACCAGACTGAACTGTGACTAAAGAAAAACTTCACATTAACCATATTTTATAAAATTTTCAACTACAACCACTAGTTAACCTAAAACCTTAGTGCATGAAGAACTGAACCACAAAAAGGTTTTGTGCTGGCATTTTGCCTTCTGGTTTCCACTGCAGAGCACAAGTTGTCAGTAGAACATATCCAGTTCAAAGGCATGGTCTTCCCCTCCACACACTAGACGCCACTCCGGCACTTGGGAATGATGGGCCCAGTCAGGTCCGCCAGCCTCCTCTTCCTCACTGGAAAGGAATGGAGATAGGAGATAAGATACAAGCCATGCGCCCCTGTACTCCAGGAACCACTACTGTTGCTCTGAGAAAACACCCCTGAAGTCTCTTCCTGATTTTTTTTGTTAGCAGAGTCTGAAGTTTGTTGTCTTGAATGGACAATTGTGTGAGTTATTTGTAACAGCTCTCCAGTTAGTGCTCACTGATGAGGGTCTGTGATAGTGTAGATTTATCCATAACTTCCTTCTATAATAAGGGGTTGGCCACACAGTCCCACTTTACCCAACTCCACTGTTCTTCCTTTGCCTACAGAAGCCCCACAGCTGACATTCTTTAGTGTGGTTCAGATCAGAGTTAAAAAGTTCAGTCAATGGAAGTAGGGTGTTAACCTCACGGAAACTTTTCCCCTACCTCTGGGAGCTCCTGGCCTGCCTCCTGCCTGTGTAGACAACAGTTTCCACCCTGAAGATTACCCTGTGTCCCCTCATGTTTAACCTTGCCATTTCTCCAGGGGCAAGACAATTTATGCTTAGACATTGTTCTCATGACAAAGAATTAAACACCATAAAGAAGGAAGCACTAGCCAGGAGCTTGCAGGTTTAGAGGACAACTGAGGAAGAAGGAGGGTCCCTGTGTTTAACAAAGCACGGTGTTTTGAAATGAATTAGTGGCTCAAGTGGCTAAGGCGCCAGCCACATACAACTAAGGTGGCGGGTTGGAATCCAGCCCGGGACCGCCAAACAACAATGACGGCTGCAACCAAAAAATAGCCGGGCGTTGTGGCGGGCGCCTGTGGTCCCAGCTACTTGGGAGGCTG